TGACACAATCGGGATATCCACCCAAACCCTAATAAAATATGGATCCTTATAATTTTAGTCTAATTTATTATTAAAAACAAAAAAAATTCCAAAAATCTCTCAATCTTCTTCACGGGTCTTCCTCTCTGTCGTCTCAATCCTCTTTTCCCCTCAACATCTTCCAAAGTTGCAAACTTTCTTCTCGATTCCCATGTTCTTCATCGTTGGAGTTAACAACTCCACTATCTGGGAGCCCCGTCGGCGTCCGCTCCGGCATCACCACCCGACACCGACGCGTCCACCGCTTAGCAATCTTGCCGTCTCTCCTCCGCATATATCTCTCGCGCTAGTCCTGGATTGTTYCTAGTCATGTCCATGGTTACTCCACCGGGTGTGAGACTCGAGAGTACACCATCYGAACTGAGAAGCAACGATCGGACATCGCTAGCGTTTCCGACCATCGTGTACACAACGTCACTCATCTCCGCAAGCTGTTTTGTGCTATTAGCGGTACGGGCTCATTTGGTTTTCAYATATTTTGATTTCATCAGGGTCACGAGCGTAAATGGTGACTAAATAGCCTACAGCGAGGAGGTGACGATGGATGATCCCGTTATTCATTGAGGGATTGATGAGTTTTAGGTATAGAATTTTCATTGAAGAACGAATGAAGAATTTGTGAGAGACGACGATGGGAGAAATACAAAAAAAGTAAGCGATCTCAAACTTCACTCAATTCAATGATTCTGAAATATAGATTCGGATTTAGAACACTCTYATTGATAAATAAGTCTAAATTACGGGTGATGATTCATAATTCYAAATTTGTGGTTTGGAATTTGTATAGACATAGATCATGAATTTGTTCGTGAACCTTATGCAAGTCTACTTGTATTCCGAAACTTGTGGTTAAATTGCTAGAGATGTAGCTGCAAATATTGATATGTATATGCAAAAGCACTTCCGTATTCAAATGGAATCAGTCAATATACTTTCTTATAACTAAAATGATGTAGGATTTTGATTCTCACTTAAGTTTAGATTTTTGATTTTGTATGTGTTTTAATGGGTGATTTGGTATATTGTGGATTTGCAGAAKTGGCTCCTAAGAAACTAAAYAAATGTATGTTGTTGCTTATAAGAGAAATGTGATCAAAGAAACACTAGTGGCTATCCTTGGTGCTGAAACTACATAAAAGGAGAAGGAAGTCAGATTGAAACTGATGGGAACC